TTCTAGAAAACCCTCCCACGAATATAAATATAACCAGTGCAACGTGCCAGAGAGAGTATCTATTATCGGTTTGCTATACTTGGTGTGCTAAAAAACTTCATAAGCTATAACTGTTATTAATGCTTATTAATCTGGAACTTCAGATATTTGACCAGGAACATTTATAAATTTTGAACATTACAAATCATTCAACTTTAGTGGATTCTCATCAAACATTAGTATTTTCATGAAAACATTACCTAACGTCATTGGTGAAACTTGACCTGTAATCAGTAAGAACTACAGGGCTAGCTAGTTCCCCTACTAAGTGAATTGTACCTATATCAACTTGTAATCAACTCGCTCATCGTCAACCCTCAATAAGATATCAAGGAAGTTCCAAGCTAGAAAGAAGATTTTATATTGTTTGTAAGTTTGTAAAACTTTTGTTTATAAATCATTGTTTGTAATAACTGTAAATTGTATTGTTGTGTGTATATTAAAATGTATTTTTGTTAAGAAGGAAAATGGTGTGTATCAATCTTGTTGGCAAACATCATAAATTGACTATATATCGGCTTTAATTTAACTACTAAATCCAAAGAATAATTTAACTACTAAATTTAATGTATCATTTAACTCAATTTCAGACCATTTGAAATTTTAATACATAATGATGGACATGCCAGACAAGTGGATTAGGAAGTCAAAGTTTCATCAAATACTTAATCAAATAATTAATTTTGAAGATGAGAGATCACAAGCCAAAGAAGTGTGGAATGTCAGTGCATCAACAGATGCAATTTTTGATAATGAGCAGGTTACGCTGTATAAGACTATCCACACTGGAACTTCATGGTTGAATACATAAAAATATTTAATTTGGGAAAAGTGTTGTCAAACAGTACAAACATTCATTTGATATAACTCTGAAAAAATTCTGAACAAATCTTTATAAGGAATTCACAGTTATGTTTATTGCAGCAAAGTGGGTTAGGTATAAACAGCCACCATCAAAGAGGTATATGAAGAGCACTCTTTATGTATGTGGGTATTTTGGAAGAGCTGTGAATCTTACACCACCTCAAAGAATGCCCAAAACAGTTTTACTTGTAGATAGTCTGTTAATTCTGGAATACTAATGACTGGTTACTTTACCTACTTTTAAAACAATGATTAAATATGGGTCTGGACGAAGGGATGTGAACAATTTGATGGCGACTAACAGTATGATGTGGTTACATTCTGCATATTGAACATAAGACATACCTAGAGCATTAGGAAGTTTAAATACCAATGGATATCAATAAATCTGATACTAGCATGTTACAGGAGCCATGATAATTCTTTTGGTAGCAATATTGCTACAGGGTAATGCCACTTGTCACAAAGTGCAAAAATTTATGCCTAGTGTTCAAGTAACAACAGTTAACAGATTCATAATATTAATACCATGAAAAATCTTTGGTACGATTTATATCAAAAATCTAATATTTACATTTGTGTAAAGATAATCTATTTCATAGTTTCAACAACTTTAAAAGAAGAACTGAACAGATAAAGCATGTATAAAAGCATTAGATTGTACTTTTCAGAATATTATTTCATGTGCCTATAGAACATTGTACTGTTAGCCTATAATTTGTTATTTTTTATAATACTACACAAAACATTTCAATGAACCAGCAAAAACATATCATCCATTTTTAAAATAATAAACCTTATACTACTTGACATAAATTCAAGGAAAATAAAAATGCACCACCTCATATTTCACCATTATTTGTCAAATCTGCTTCATAAACAAAACAAATCACATCCTTAAAACATCAATGCAATAACAATTTGAATCATCTCCATTTACCATAACTGCCTAGATAACTGAACCAGTAAAAACTTATTTTTAACCAAATTCAGTTCTTGTTTAATAGAATGTGTCCTCCATTGTTTTCAAATAAAGCTGTTATGCGTCACCTCATAGATTGACTGAACTGTCTAATTTGATCTTGTGGTATAGCTGTCCATTCTTCTCTCTGTGCTGCTCAGAGTTGCTGTTGCATTTCTGAAGGGCGTGGATGCTGATGCAAACGCATGCCCAGTAAATGCCAGAGATTTTACATAGGGATCAAATCCGAGCTCCTTGCTGTGCAGGAAAGGAAATTAACCTCATTTTCTCTAGAAAATCAGTACAAATACGAGCCACATGTGGTCTGGCATTCTCTTGTTGAAAAACCACACCAGGCCCAACCTGATCCAGAAAAGGCAGAACCAATGGCTGAAAAATTTTATCCCAATATCTCTGAAAATTCAAATTCCTCTCAATAAATTGAAGCTCTGTTTGGTGATTGGCAGATATACTGGCCCATACCATTATGCTAGGACCCCTGTCCACGTGCTGTACTGGATCAGCATACCTCTCATTTTGCCTCCTGTATACCCTTTGTCTTCTATTGGCTCTGAAACACTGGAACCTTTTCTCATCAGTAAAAACAACTATTAACCACTGTTGCAGCATCCACTGAAGATGGATGTGACACCAGTGGATATGGTTCTCTTGGTGAGAGGTGGTAAGGACTGCACATGTGTAAAGGCAGTTAGGTAGCAGCTGTCTAGGTAGAGAGCTGTAATCGGTTGCGCAGGTGCACTAGTCAAACCTGTCAGTCTTGACAACAGGTAATCACGTAAGGTCTTCCTGGTCTTTGGCAGTCTGCTGAACTTCCAGTATCATCATACCACTGGCATAAACATCCAACTGTCAAATGGTTGGCATTTAGTACTCTGGTTACAGCTCTGACCAGCTTGGAGCATACCAATGGCCTTATCTCTTTGTGTCTGAGTGTGTTGTGGCATCATGAATGCTGTGAATTGCATTTGTTTTTTGGTGCCTTTTTAATGACATGGGTCACATAATTTTGAGATGTGGTCATTGAGATGGTTGTGTTGGCTCATGTGTCGTGTGAACAATGGATTTATACACTTCAACTGGCTCACCAAAACCATAGAAGCATAACTGTCAACATTCCCTGTTTTATTTCATTGTTTAACTCAACAAACAAACCTAATGCCACAATTTGGATCAATTTTGTTTTCTAACAAAAGTGGTGTATTTTTAATTTCTGTGAGTGTACTTTAAGTACCTCTTTAAAGATGAATCAGTTTTAGTATTATACATTATTCAATTTTTAATTTAAAAGTAAATATTAAAAAACACTTAAAACATCCATTGTGTTACATGGTATGTTGAATGCAGCACTAGTTCAAATTAGATGTTTGTGATGTAAAAATACTAAGTCTATAGTTTCATACAAATTAGGAACTCAAATTACCAATATTGACAAGCTAGAATATAAAATAAGAACCTCCTCTCTCTTTTCTATTTGCTGAGATATCATTCATGTACTGAATCAAACACAGTGGTCCCGCTCAGCTCTTTCCATTTTTGGAAATACTCCCTCATATAAACTTACTTCTATATATGACATGTGAATAACCAATCAAGTGTTACAACACCATCTCATTCTTAAGGAACAAGATTTTAAGGAGATAGGTTAAGTCTTTAGTCTGCTCAAAATTTCATACTTTTGAGACCGAAATACAGCTTAGTTACTAAGCTTGATAAATTATAGTGGAATTCTATGGTATCGATATAGTAATTTATGATTTTTTTGGTTATTCAACTGTATATATAAAACCTCAAAAAATTATTTCGTTTCATATCCTCCACGTGCATAATTTTAAAAAGTTTAGCAACCTATGTCAAGCAGCAACTGAGTACAAAGAGATAATTGTTTGCTTTACTTCTTTATTTACTGTTCTATGTTTTAAGAAAAAAAATTTTAAGAACTTATTTCTAATTAATAATAATTTATATGCATATATAATGTATAATAATTGAAATGTGACTGTATTTTACAAAATACTAGTCTACTAAAACACAGCCAAGACAGGTCACTTTGTAAAGACTAAAGGTCAGTTTTATATTATTGGATACGGTAACATGAGTGCATGTGTGCCACTTCATCGTAACTTCTGTATTGTAAGCTAGGCACAGCTAAAAGGTCAATATAATAGAAATAATAAATATATATATAAATGTGTAATGTTATGAGATTTAAGCTATCTAGTCTAAACATTTATGTTTCTGTGTTATAATTTGTAGTCATTCTAGAATGAAAAAGTCATAATTTATATTTATTTCCTAATTTTTTTATGGTGGTTACAAGATAAGTCAAATTAACCAAACCCATACAGAAATTCATTAGTGAAAATAACAGATAAAATATAAAATATTTTTTTAAGAAACGTTTGATAACTGTCTGGATGTTATAAAGATATCGCATGCAAAATCTGAAAATTTTCTGATGCATAAAAGTATTTTTAATCTTAAAATTAAAATTACTTTGCATGTTGGATAGGCAACATACGAAAAGCAAAAAGGCATGAGAAAAACACCGCTTAACAAACTTTATGACTTAACAAAAAAATTTGATATTTGCATATGAAAACATTGTAATGTTTATTGATAATCTGCCAAATTTTGTTAACACATGTTTACTAACTTAAAAGTTATAGCATGAAAACTATAATAAGCACAAAATGGTTGTGAGGTCAGTCACACAGACCAAGCCTGTGCTGAAAGAATTAAGTCAATGATTGGTCTGACTACCAATGAAATTTTTTATATAAACCATAATTGGAAGATTACATACATATCTGACTCCACCAAGTTTAAGTACTTGCAATGTAATGCTTTTTTGTGATTTCAGCACACAAAACAAAACCCAAAGAGGAAAAATCTGAGATGGAACAGCATTTTACCCTCATAGCAGACTGAGACCGAAAAGAATGTGTCATTAATTTGTTTTATATAATTCCTAAATCTACAAAATAACTTTAACTTTTAATGTATCAAAACATCTCTTGCAACATATGTTTATAATCCTGTCAAATTATGTGTTTCCAAAATTACACATTTAAGAAAAGTAGAACTATGATTATAACCAAAAGAAATTTAAACTAACCTAGTACTCTTGTAGGTCTTGGAGAATGAGAGGTGACACTAATCCTGGGGATTGTTTTCCCTGTCATATTTTCCTCACTTTGTTCACTCTCTGATCCTTCTGTATGTAAACAATATAATACTATTACCATATTTAAAAAAAAAAAAGGTTTAGCAAATTCCAACTACACTATACAAAATTTTTTTTCACACAATTTTTCCCCAAACTGTGTTACTGACATCAAAAAATTGAAATAACATTCACTGCACACCCAGACTATGAGAAAAATACAAATTAACTGTAAGTATTTTCTATAAGTAATATTTTAAAATAGAGTAATAATGTTCTGTCATTCTGGTGAAAGTACATCTTTTCCAGAAGAATTTTTAACACCACTAACATGAAACAATTATTTTACTAGTGCGAATTTGATATTCCTCATAATGTGACCTCCTGGAAAAAGGAAGTTTAAACAGTTAGAAATTATTGTTAACCTAAAGTAGTCATGGTTAATCACACTTAATTTCATTAGAAAAAATGTGTCAGGTCCTTTTCTACTCTTGGAAGTTCTTCCCAATTGTTGTTCGTACTCAGTCTAATAACCATTGCACACCTGTTCAATCCTACAAATTTTATTGTAACAAGTTTCAGAAAAGAAAAGCAAGACAAGTTTTAGATCACATAAATGTTAATATTGCTTTCAACAGACTTTCTTGGCATGTGAACATCAGCTTCCAAGACCACATTTAAGTAGACTAAAAACTGAATAAAGAATTTGATATGTAGGTGGACAAATGTTACAATTCTAGTTTCACTGGCCATCTTTCCCATGGAAACAGCCACCTGAAGTGAAGTTAGAAATTTGGCTTGTGAGATATCACTGACTTTATATCATTAATTATTACCTTGTTGATAGTATCGGGAGATATGCACAATAACCTTTTGGGTTGGAAGATCCTTTACTCTGCAGATGAAGGTACTACTAATGGCTGGTTTGAGATGTGGTTTCAAAACTTGTTGTTCTTAATAATTTGCTATGTAAGTTTTGTAGCTTCAGTGGAAAACATTAAAGGCTTCCTTCTTCAAAATGTTGGCATCATATGGTTAAACAAGAATATTCTTCCTCAGAAATGATTGTAGCTGACATCCAGCTATAAAGTTACCATGGAAGCATTACATGCTGTATGTTGGGGATTTGTGGTGAATCAATTAGATAGGTACTAAGCGTGTTGCCTGTTGTGTCACAGCACACATGTGATGACACTCCTTTGCATTAGCATAAACATATCTTTCTTATAAAGTGTGATTAACCTTTGTACAATACAATATTCAAATTGTTTTGAAATTTATGTTGGGAAGGTTTACTTTCTTCAAGACACATAACTGCTTATGGTAACTCACATTCCAATGCAAAGATAAAACTTAAATTCCTCTTACTCTTTTCTCCACTACCAATGACATTTTAGAAATTTACTGGAGGCTTTCTAATACTTAATTCAAGTAAATATGTGAATAACAAAGAGGGCATTAATATAATTTAGTCAGCTGAAATAAATCAAAGAAACCAATAAAGTCAGCTTTGTCGACGTGTACCACTCAATCGACAATGGAGAGAAGTGTAGTGAAGAAGTGAATATTCTTGTCAAGTTCAATTTATTTCTACAACAAGTACTTTAAGTATTTGAATTACAAATTAAATCAAAGAAACTTAAAATTTCACACTTAAAAAAAGAAAACAGGTTAAGCAAGAAAAGTAAGAGTATAAGCTAACTACCAAGAGAGGCAAAGAAAATAATGTGTTGCAAGAGACAGAGTAAAGCATAAATTAAAAATAATTATAAAATAACAGACTTATGTAGTTATGTCTTACTCGGACCTAGAACTAACAGAATACACATTAGTGTATGTATTTGTGGGCCAATGCAAAGATATTTTTATAAAATATTCAACCAAATAACACAATATTAAAACTGCCATCATGCTATGGAACTATTCCAATCCTACAGTATACCTGAGTAGATAAAACAACCACTAATTCTTTGAAGATTCTTCTAGAAAAATACAATGAGTATATGGAGGTTTAGTTTTGTCACTTAATGCAAATCGCTGTATTCAAATCATTTCAGAGAAATAGACTGGTAGAATGAAGAAGTAATTTATATAAGCATTAAAACATCAGTAACATCACTTTCTATTCTAATACACTATGTGAGACCATGACGTGACTGAGTAACAAAGTCCTGAAATGTTAAATAAGTTTGGGAATATATTTCTACCAATCTTTTACTAACACACAAACATAAATGAAGAACAGTATGGATAGAAGAAAAAGCCATCTTATAAAGAATCATTAGGGGGGTCTAATAAATAATCTGCTACTTGTTTACAAGAAAAAAAACTGAGGAAACAACAGAAAAATCAGGAAGTAAATAAAATCAAAGAAAAAAGTCCATTGAAAGTTCACATTTCTGGAATTATTTTCAGAATAAAATCTAAAATGATTAATTCAAAAACATAACAGATTAAACCAATAGAAGACTTATTCATTAAGTAAATACCTCTCACATGACTGAGGTTAAGAAAAAGTGGGATGTCTGTAGCTCTATACATGCATATGAATAATCTACACCAATGGTTCCCAACCTTTTTGAAACTAAGGACCAACTATTTCTGATACCAAAATTTCATGAAGTTCTTTGTATAATATTAACTTTTTAAAATCCTTTTAAATTACATTATAAAACAATATACTTCAGTAGCTATATCATTTTCTTCTATAACCATCCTGCAGACCGCAAGTTAGAAACCACCGATCTAATGCTCATGTTGGAATAATATGTGTACTGTTAAAAATTTAAATTTATAATTTGGACAATGGGACAGTTGGATCATTACAATGAGATTGGGGAAAGAAAAGATAAACATGATCTTTGATATTTCTCAATGAGTTAAACTTAATTTTCTATGAAAATATTACAATAATATCACACAATATTAAATTAGATTACATTACCGGTTTTCTACAAAGTATATGTTAATAAAAATTAAATTTAAAACTGAAAAAAATCAGATAATGTTACTAAAACGTCAACAAAACAAACAACAAACCTAAAAGCTCCCAAAATTTGTAAATTATCAATGTTAAAAATAAGGCTTGTGTGAAAAGTTATAATAATGGACTGTTCTAAGGTGTGATGAGTGATAGCAGTGGAAAAAAAGTTGTACATGAAATTCTCACTACTTTACTTTTCTTGTAAAATTGAATGACTTTATTGCCCTCTGACTGGCCATCATATACATCTGTGTTAATATTACAGGAGAAAACAACAAAGAAATTATGTCTAGTCATGACATTATCAAACTAAGTTAATAAAATTACTGGCATAGAAATAGCACGTTATAAAATTAAAAACTTTTTTATTTAATAAAAAATTCACTTATGTCCTACATCTCAAAACACAAAGAAAAAATTTAGACCCTTATGATACTTTTATGAATATGCATTTTATAAAAGGCACTGTGGTATTATTGATACTTTTCTTTATAAGTAAAAAAAATACTATATTTTAACCCTTTTGATGCTATAATTAGATTTATTCAACTTGAAATTTATAGCCATTTGGTGCAACAAGTAGATTTACCCCCATGGTATCACAAAAACTTTTCACACATCCTTAAATTTCTCACCTTAGTACTGCATGTGCATACATAGCTGAGCAAAAGCACAACTATTGGATTTTGATATTGAAAAAGTAATAAAAAAGGTCAAATTCTGCATTTCATTTTTAGTGGATAACTGACACTTTTCAAGAACCTATTTGAAATTTAATTAAGAACTCAGAGGCTTAATAACATTCCATCACTAATAAAAATTACATTAATCAAAAATACATATATAGAAAAACTTCCTGGCATTTTTGGATGTTCAAAGTACCATGTTACCACAAAAAACACTTTCAAATCACAACTAACCTGACTGAGATTTAGAAATTTGATCCATGTTCTCTAATCTCTTTTTATCTTCTTCACTACTGCACGAACTATCACTAATCAAACGTTCCAACTCCCCAATATCATAGTCTAAATAAATGTGTATTATATTAAAAATATAACCAGGACAATTTAACAGAAAAAATATGGTATAAAAAATCATAACCTTTCTTCCAATATTTCTAAAAATTTTATTCTTAAATGTGGTTTGATAATAATTACTTAAGAGAAATGTTCACTATATAGTTCTTTATCTCTTGCAGTTCTACTTACATTGAACCAGTCTTAAGAATTCATAAAACTATGTATATATCATGAAACTAACAGAGTTAAGAGCAGTGTCCTCAAAGGAACTATATCAGTTCAAGAGTCAAAGAATAATTCATCTTACGTAATGGAAGTATTTTTTGCTTTTCTTGATGCTGACATATATTACAATTAAAATAATTAAAAACACTTAAAACAGGATGTAGCAAAGAAATAAATAAATATACTACAAGAATGAAACATTATGACACCTTTAAATTGCAATATATTACACTTGAGAAGATAAAATTTATAATAAATCTACATATCAAGTAATTAAACTATAGCTGTCCAAATGCTTTAAACAAATTCAATAAACTACATTTCTCAATTACTATTTTTTTCATCACTCAAGGCATTATAGATTTGTGACAAAAAATAAGGTACTGACCACAATCTAACTAGCATTGCTTAAAACAGACTTGTGATATAAAACAAGGTACTGACCACAATCTAACTGGCATTGCTCAAAATAGACTTGTGATATAAAACAAGGTACTGACCACAATCTAACTAGCATTGCTTAAAATAGACTTGTGACATAAAACAAGGTACTTACCACAATCTAACTAGCATTGCTTAAAACAGACTTGTGATATAAAACAAGGTACTGACCACAATCTAACTGGCATTGCTCAAAATAGACTTGTGACATAAAACAAGGTACTGACCACAATCTAACTAGCATTGCTTAAAATAGACTTGTGACATAAAACAAGGTACTGACCACAATCTAACTGGCATTGCTTAAAATAGACTTGTGACATAAACCAAGGTACTGACCACAATCTAACTGGCATTGCTCAAAATTATTGCACTTCATTTTGTTTCTTTCTCCTTTAAAATGTCATAACTGTTATCTATATTAAGCCTATAAGATCAACTGAAATTATCCATTGAATCCCATCAAATTCTAATTGACAATGTGTACAGGGTAATAACAATAATACTCAACTTCTACATTCTACAAAGAAAATACTATAGAGGCCCAGCAAGTTTACACACATCTTTCTCTTTTTTGTGTGTGAAAATTTGAATAGTCATAATAAATCAGAATTCATGTGTAATTCATATAAAGTCAAAAATCAAAAGGTCACACATTATACACATGCACACACAAAATTAGCAGCTGCTATAACTTGATAAAAATGACCTCTCCTAAACTAAAAGAATGGTATTTTTTTTCTTCTCACTACAAAGTATGCTTTTACTAGCTTATGAAACAAAAATCCTCATATTCAGAAAGTTCAAATGTACAAATTCATATGTACATAGTATTTCATTTTAACAACTCTTTTTGTTAAACCTACCAAGATCTCTATAACTCCAGCTAAGGTTAGTAGTAACCACAGGTGGTTTCTTTAAATTCCTTCCATTTGCTGGTTTACTTATGGCAACTGCCTGTCTGTCACAGCTATTTTTGTTGCAAGCCTGTTTACGTGCCCTGTTTAGTTACAGAAAGAAGCTATTACTTGGAATTTACCAATAGAAATATAACAATAGAAAAACTGATGACCTGCAATCAAACCTTTGTTATAAATGGTTATCTGAGAGGCAATCACTAGCAAGTTTGTGAAACCTTGCAATGCCTTCATCATTAATACAGATTTAAAATGTAATTAAAGAAAACAGTAAAGTGAATTTAAGCAATAAACAAAGTATTAAAGTTTTGAAAAAGTATTTGGTTTTATTTAAAAAATATTAGATTGAAATAGTTTTATAAAACATATAGAAGTACTAAGCATCTTGTTAAAGTATTAAAACTTATTGAACATTTATACTTTCGAATATCTTACAATAGAGAAAATGACACTCAAAAAACAAAATAAAATCTGAGTAATTTTTAAACCTTTTGGTCTACTAGTTTTAGACAGAAAACATTTGGTATACATCTAACTAATGTCATATATGTTAAGATCTGAAACAGATTGAACACAATGATTTCTAATTTTATGACAAACCCTGTATTTGTTAATAACAGTGCAAGTTGATCTCTATAATATTTCAAATCTGTTCTTGCAAATAACAAAAGTAAAATACAGTATTATAGTAATGGTAACTTAGTAATTGTTTTGAATGCAAATATAGGTGAAAATGAAAATAATTACATACACGTAGAGAAACACATCCATCTACATATCACATATATATGTATTATAATAATAATAACCTTCAATAACCTTTACAATTCTGATAAGTACTAACACTTGTTCTGTTATATGATTAAGAACATTTCCTGTCAAAGGCATGTGATTCATTGTTGAATATAATTTAAGATGAGTGAAAGTAAAGAAGAATGTATAACAATATGTCAATCACACTATATCTGATATATATTCAGTGCTGACAAGGCCTTTTGCCCAATACCAGGACTCATTATTCCACCTGAGATACAGCAGACATAGTAGCAGTTGAGATACTATCTATATTAACAAACTGTATGAACAACAGTTGCTATGGTGTGAAGAAGATTAAGTTGGTGAAATGTAGTTTTTTTATAAATTTCACTTAAGTCATTTACAAGTCAGAATTATGGTAATGATTAGTAATACATTATTATTTATTTATCTGAACATCAATTAATTTGCTATTATTTATGTTTACATTAATTAACTTTACTCATCATTCAGAAGATCCAGTAAACCAGCAAGCCATGTGAGATTAATTAAATAGCTACCTTCACACACACACGCGTATCATTTAATGTACACATAAAGTGCATTCACTACCAGCTAAAATTACTACTCACATGGCCAGCTTCTCTGCTAATTCCAGAAATCCAGCTGAAGAGGCAACATCATCAGGTAAGAAACCATCCAAGTTAGGAGTGTGTAAAGCTAGCAGGCTTCCTGGAAGTGTCAACAGTTCTTCCATCATCTGACGAAGGCCCAGTCGTGCAGCAAAGTGTAACAGTGTTTCTTGTTGCTCTAATTCTGAAAAATGTAAACATGAACTGGGTTAATGTTCTCAAATGTTTTTCAGCATTAGGTTATTATTTACTATTAATAACACTGAACTGAACTTAACATTTGCGCTAGTGTACATTTTTATACACTTTGTATTTTCCTTATCCTTAAGCAAACCTTCTTATATCTGCTAATACTACACAAAAGTTACTATAAGTTTTTTATAAAATAATTAATAAACCAAGTAATCATGGTGTTCTCTCAATATTCTTCATTCTTCTCTATTCCTCAATGCTGCATTAGCCAACTAATTCAAGTTTCTCATATCCAATTTATTTTCTAATGTCATTAAACCAAGTGACTTTCTGCCTATCTCTCAGTCTTCTTTATTTGATTCTACCCTTAAGAATAACTGTCAACCTTCCCTCAGATCTAATTATATGCCCAAAGTAACACATCTTACACGTCCAGCAACTATCTCTTTTTGTCTTTGCACATTGCAGTATTCTCTGTTTATTAATTCGTTTTCTTTATATTGAGCTGCTGTTCTTCATCATTTAGCATAACACCATATTTCAAATGCTTCTAACTGCATTTTGTTTCAAAATATAGGGTCGACTTTTCCACTCTGTACAGTAGAACTGGCCATATGATATATTTTAATAGTCTCTTTTTTCAGTTCTAATTTTCCATCTTTCTTGAAAAATTCATTGAGATTGAAAAATGCCATTTTTAACCTCTCTGTCTTTTGCTTTATCTATTTTACATACTTATAATTACTACTGATACTCATCAAAAAGTAAATCCCTCTACCTGTTCCAACTATTTATCTTCTACTTCTATGCATATTTTGGGAGCTTCCTCAGATTATGAAATTATCACTTTCTTAGGTTTTTTATTTTTATTCTAAGTCTATATCCTTTACCAACAAAACTGTCAAGCAACAATTATATCGTTTTTACAGATTCACCCATAAGTGCTGTATCATCAGTATACCTTTTACTGCAAATTTTATTTCCATTAACCTTGATCCTTTTTGTATCTGTTATTACCTGTACAGTCAACCACTCTCTATACAAACTGCTTTATATAAAGTTGCTGAGATTACATATATTTACTGTACAGTAAGCTCTTTTAACTGCAGACCAACTTCTTAGTCCTCCATCAATATCAACTTCTGCTTCCTGAATTCATTATAAATTCTTCAGGATTCTGACCTCTTCTAAAACTGTTTTGATCTTCTGACAGCTCATTCACAATATTATGTTTAATTCTATTGAGGATTACTTTTATTAATACTTTTAAAGTGTGACTAATCAAGTTGATAGTCCTACTGATCACACTCTACAGTCTTAACTTTATTGGAGATTGGCACAAAAACAGTCTGGTGGCACTGTTACTCCTCTAATTGAATTACAAATTTATGTGAGATATTTAATCCTTAAAATAATTTCTTTAACAATTCTGATGGAAATTTCTAACATTTTCCTGAACCATCCTTTCCAAAGTTTCTACACTTTCTAGGACTGGTTCCTCTTTCCTGGCCATATTATATTATTCTTTCACATACTTCAACCACCTCTCTTAACATTCTCAATTTCAAAATGTGTCTAGTCATCCTTCCTTTGAATGCCTCCACTGGAAGACAGAGCAGGTTTCTTATTCAACTCTTTTATTCTTCTGTGCATATTTCTTATTTAGTTATTTATCCTTTCCTTGTCTATAAAAATGTTTCAATTTCCTTATCTACTCCCCTATGTTGCTCTCCTCCTCTTGATAGTTGCCTTCTTACATCCAGATTTTGTCTTATTCATCCAATCACAAGGTTGTAATCAAATCCTCAGTTTACTCCAGGATACATTCTAATTTATGTAACAGAATTTCTGAAACGTTCCTTTACTACAATCTGGTTCCCTCACAATTCTTTCACCATAACATGATTATCTCCAAGTACAAAAATTTTTTGGGTGATGCTTAAACCAAAAACTGCTTATTGTTCAGCATTTCTCTACACGACACTTTACTAATCTATTTCCTTTCTCATTTTGTTCTTTAAGGCCACATTATCCAATTAGTATGTAATTCCTACCTTCACCTACCTGTAACTTGAAGTCACCTATAAAAAAAAATCATCTTCACTACTTATAGCACTTAGTTGTTAGAATTCTTCATTTCAAAACATAAATGCACAATTTTCTTCTAAACATTATAAGATTCTGAATTATGGTTTAAGTAAATTGAAGTTCAGCTGAGAGTTGACCTTTATTCTCCAAGTAAGCAACAAACTCTATAAACTGGGTGTTACAGAATAAAATTATGGATAAATGAAATGACAGTGAACTCCAGTAAATCTTTCAAAATTCAAAGTTTTTTTTAATTTGCTCAATGTTTTAGCTTTATGCTTTCTTCAGGAGCATACATACTTTATAATGAACTCTATCACATAAATCAAGACAACTGTATTCTAAGAACTTAACCAGGTATTACAGTATATCTTGGATGTGTCCATTCCCATTATTAAAAGCATGTGGCATATACATAAACAATATAACATAAACATTGGTTCCAAAAACAAAGAATATCATACACAGTAAAAAGAGAGCCTATATGAATTTGTTTGTAATTAAGCACAAACCTATACAATGAGCTATCTGTGCTCTGCCCACCATGAGTATTGAAACCCAGTTTCTGCAGACATACCCTGTGCCACTGGGGGGCACCTATATGGAACAGTTAATATTGAGTAAGTAATGTTTAAATTATCATCCAAATGAAATTTAGTAAAATTGAAGACAGGGACATCATTATATTTGTTTATTATTGGTTTATGTTTTTCTATAAGGAATACTGTTTTACAAAAAAAAAAAAGAAGAATATTTTACACAATAACAGGAAAGCCTATATGGGAAAGTTCATTAAAAGTAGACAAACTGAGTGAGTAACATTTAAGTTATTATCTATAGAAAATTCAGTTAAATTTGAAAGAAGGGCTATCCATTATATTTGTTCATTACTGGTTTATCTTTTTCTGTAAGAAGTGATTCCTTAATTTTGCAATCTAAGAAATCATCACATCTTGTGAGAATTTAAATGTTATTGGACAATCTATCTTTGGTATATCATGATTCAAGATATAGTGTTCAGCTGCTGCACTTTCCCTTCACCTCTGCTTTATGTCCCAAATGTGTCCATTGATATATTCATAAAAGAGTCTCCCAGTTTCTATGCATTCTAGTTGGTAAATGATGATATTTGTTGTTAAATATTATCCTCTCATGTTTCAGGAGCTAAACAATTCCAAAAAAACAAAAAAACAGATGAATCATAATATCCTATTTTAAAGCAACATGTTACATAATGAAAAAAGAATAATGGTAACTCCATGGCCATACAAGTAAAAATATAAAACAAGAATAATCGTAACTCCATGGCCATACAAGTAAAAATATAAAACAAGAACAATCGTAACTCCATGGCCATACAAGTAAAAATATAAAACAAGAACAATCGTAACTCCATGGCCATACAAGTAAAAATACAAAACAAGAACAATCGTAACTCCATGGCTGAATTACACAAGTTCATGTAAGATTTCTCACAGACGTTTACATTTTAGAAGGAAACATAATTTCCTTCTCTTTCTTTATACATAAAAATAAAAACATTATTACATGATATATGTGTGTATGTATTTTACTATTTGTTTTTTTTATACATTTCATAAATATTTTTTCATTTCAAATCAAGTATATTTCTGGTTTAAGGTATTTGTAAAACTGACACAGTAGAAATAAACAATAAAAATTCACGAGTTCTTTCAAAACAGAATACCTTTTGATTTTGATCCAACTATGCTCCAATTTGATGAGCTGTGCAAAGCTTTAAATGCTGCAGTAAGTCGACTATCAAGATTAGCTTGAGCTTCAGCAGTTAAGTTGAATCGTTCTTCACATACTTGCTCTAATTCACTTAGTGCATCACAGTTATTTACACTATCAGAAAGAAATGTAGCCATCTGGTGTGCTGAATCAGAGACATACTCAAATTTTGATGAGCTGATAGATCTTTCTTCACCCAGATATGCAACATAAGAAGTCAAACACACAGGTTCTGCTTTGTTATGGGCTATAAAAAAAATTTTAAAACAAAATATAATGAATAAGATTTATTATACATTTCAAAATAATAAGAAAAATTTGTACTCAAAGTCATAACACATATTTACACTATAGCATCATGCTGCTGTCTTTCTCAATGTTTAAATTTAACCAAATACTTCAAGCATTTTCACTGATTTGATAAAAAGGCATAAAACATACACAATCTTAACTGACTGTCTGTTAGCTTTTAAGAAATGGAAAACTTATTTTACAGCCTGACCATTGCTTTTTTATTATATGTTTATTAGTTTTTGTTTGTTATTTAGCAAAAGGGTTATCTTTGATGTAATCACTGCAGGTACAAAAACCAGAGTTTCAGCGTAAGTCCTTAGATTTACTGTTAAGCTAAAATGGAGGGGGGGGGGGTAGCATTTTATCATTACGGCGAGTCGATCCCGTAAAATATCGAAATTATAGACATTCTGGTAAAAAGAAAACTTAATATACACAGCATGGTCACAAGTAAATAGACACCACCTTTTCAGAAAAAATTAAAATTTTCAGTCATATTCACATAAATTGATATATTTATAATTTAATTAATATCTAGTATATCTTCCTTTCACTTCGTGGAGTTAGTTGATCCTTTGGGGCATCGTGAGAATCATCTTGTCAATTTTAGATTGTGGGATTTTTGCCCACTCTTA